GGGCGGCCCTGGCCGGGCGCCCAGGCAGGGGGGTCCCGGCCGCGCCAGCCGGGCCACCCCAGCACCCACCCTGGGCTCCGTGGGCCAGGGCAGACCTGGCGTGGCACATGGTCGGCGCGAGGGCTGCCAGGAAGCCCAGGAATGGGGGGGCTGAGTGCAGGGGCCAGGCCCAGGGTCCACCCACCTGCCAGAGGGCAGTTTCCACCCAAATGGAAAACGTGGGGCCACGAGATTGGCTCTGCCCTTCCCGTCCACTCCCAGCAGCCGGCCCGTGGCCCGTCCCCCGCAGGGCCTGGCCTTCCTCCCGGCCACCACACACTCCCGAGCTCACGCCAAGAGCGGCAGGCGTTGGGGCCCAGATGGGGGTCTGGGCCCTCCCCCGTGGACAGGGCGGTGCCCCAGGAGACGGGCAGGGCCAACCCCCAGCAAGTGGGTGGTGGCAGCAGCAGATCTGGCGCTCGGCATGAGCCGGCCGGACCTCCTGGCTGAGCAGGAGGGGTGTGAGCCGGGACCCCAGCCCCAGGGCCGTGCTGCGCTCAAGCTCGGCGCCCACGGTCGGGGCTGAGCTGTGGCGGCCGGGGAGAAGCGCGGGGCTTCCGCCTGGCCGGAGCCGGGGGTCCACGTGGGCCTGTGCCATGGCCCCACCTTCTGCTCGGCCTCCAGGAAGCGCTGGAGGTCAGCGGCCTCCAGGTGGTCCTTGTGGTCGCTGTAGGTCAGCAGGAGCAGGTACAGGTCCCGGCGGGTGGACATCACCTTGTAGAAGGTACAGAACTCCTCGAAGCCCAGCGCCCCCTGGCGGTCGTCCGTGTCCGCCTCCTGCAACAGGCCGCCTCTGGGTCCTGGGCGCCCCCACCGGCCCGCGCCCCGGCCTGGTCAGGCTGCCCCCGATGGGAGCCCTGCAGCCCTCCCAGCCGGCCCTCCCGGTCCGCCGGCCTCGGGCCCGGCTCAGGCACCCTGGCCGACCCCAACAGGCCGCGTGGCCAGGCGTGTGGGCACCCACTCCCTCCGGGCACCGCTCCTCCACGCCGTGGCCCCTCAGGTCGCCAGGCCAGAGCCCAGGTGACGGCTGGAGAGGGCGTGGGCGGGGTGCGGCCCCGGGCTAGCCCCCAGCAGCCCTCTCCAGGCTGCGGCCGTGAGGCCCAGGGCTGGCCCCGCGGCCCCGCAGAGGCCACAGCGGGCGCAGGTGCTGCAGGCGAGCGGCCCAGGGCGGCGCCTGCTGCTGGGCGGTGGCCGCGCCAGTGGCCCTGGGGGGAGGTTGCAGCCGCCTCCGCCGGGCCCGCCTCATGGCGCAGCTGGATGGGCACCCTCTCAGCCCAGGCAGGTACCCCAGCGCCCCCCATACCGCGCACAGGACACCGCCAGGAACCCGCTCCTCGCTTAGACCTGGCCTAGACGCCAGGCCCGAGCACCCAGCACCAGCCTCAGCTGAACATCTGCCTTGCCACAGAGCCAAGGCTGAGCACCCTCACCTGGCCCTCCTCACCTTGAACACCCTCACCTGAGCACCTTCACCTAAGCACCTCACCTGAGCACCTCACCTGTGCATCTCACCTGAGCACCTCACCGGAGCACCCTCACCTGGCCCTCCTCACCTTGAACACCCTCACCTGAGCACCTCACTGGAGCACCCTCACCTGAGCATCTTAACTGTGCATCTCACCTGAGCACCCTCACCTGAGCACCTCACCTGAGCAACTTCTCCTGAACACCCTCACCTGAGCACCTCACCTGGGCGAGCACCTGAGCACCCTGGCACCTTCTTGCCCCTCACCTTGAACATCTGCTTCACCCTCTGCCGTGGCAGGTTCACATTCAGCTTGTGCAGCAGCTGCAGAACCTCGCCCATGCTCAGGCTGCCGTCCCCGTTCTTGTCGGCCTCGTCAAATGTCTGCTTCAGCCATTTGGGGCGAGTTAGGGGCCAACGGGGTCAGAGGGCCCAACCCACCCAGCCGCGCAGACCCCGCAAGGGTCCTCCTGGCCACCAAGCAGCAGGACCCACAGGGGCAGGCGCAGCTACCCAGGCGCAGCTGGAGCGGCCCGGCCGTCCCCCCCGTGCCCCCGGGGGGCCCATCCCACGGACCGCCCCGCACCCCCGCTCCCCCAGGATATTGGTCCCTGGTGCGCTGGCGCCGGGCCAGGCTGTCCTCGTCGCTGATGCCGGCCATGAGGTAGCGCAGGCCGGTGACCCAGGTGCGCGCCTCGTCGCCGCTGGAGGAGACGAGGGCAAGCGACTCGCGGTGGCCCCCGTGGTAGATGCTGAAGCAGCAGTTGGGGTCGAAGCTGCCCTCGGGGTAGCGCTGGAAGACCTCCGACTGCCGGCCCTCGCTCACCTCCTGGATGGAGTCGATGGAGACTGGGGGCGGGGCAGCCGTCAGCACGCGGTCTCGGGGGGCGGGGTGCACGCCCAGCTCGCCAGCCCGCACCGGGTCCAGGACCCGGCAGCGTGCTTCAAGGGGCCTTGGCTGTACAGAAAGGAGCACCGAGCCCGCTGTGCCCGCCGCCCTGTGCCTCCCTACAGCTGTGGACAGGCGGCCCCAGGGGCACAGCCTCCCGGTCAGCCCAGCCCGGGGTCCGCCGAGGCTGCAGAACACGCCAGCTCCCCGCACGGAGGCCGCCCCATCCCAAGAAGGCCAGTGGGGCTGCCTCCCCCG